TGAATAATTTTTTTTTTTTTTTTACATGTATTGATTTGTGTCTTGTAATATTTGTTATTAGCCTGTGCTTAATAACTTCCATTTACCCTGGAATTTATTATCACCACGTCATGGTGTTATTAGTCTTAAGGAATAGAGAAACGAGGATATGGTTAAAACTATGGTCTTATGTGATAAGGCAGGACAGATCATGTGATTTCAACAATACATTATGGCGTTCCAAAATATGTTATGTTTCCCATTGTTGCTTGTCTTTTGGTGGTCAAAGTCTTAAAAATATTCCGTGTTGATATTGGACTTCTTTTCTTTACTTTCTTTTTTTTTTCTCTGATGTGCATGCAATTGCTTTTAGCCTTTTATGCTCTCTGGTATATACACTTTTAGGGAGACATTTGGATCAATACGGTAAAGACAACTTGTATACCAAATGGATTTGTGCTTCAAAATTTGGTCTTTAGGTAAACGAAAGGTTGGAGGGAATTTTGAACACCTAATTAGGCAGTCTTCATTTCTTTCTTCCCCTTCTCTCTTCTCAGTGTTTGAGATGCAATTTATAAGCTCCTTCTACCTAAATATGGTACAATCAATGCATTACACCTGGGTACAATACAAACTCATATTGTATATAGGGTGGTAACTTGTCAACCAGCAACACTGTCCAGAGGCTAGGCACAGTTCACTGACATTTCCGGTGCCAGTCCCAATAATTAACAAAGAGACCCACAGCAAACTCAGGACCGTTGTGGCCCTTCCACTGCTGGACCGAGCTTCGATGGCCTAATTCTTTATACAGCTCTATGTATGACCATATATTTTTTAAGCGATCCTATGTATGATCATATTAGAATTGAAGAAGAAGAAAATTTTGTTCACAAGAGCAATGCAATACCAGTACAACAAGTTAGACACAAGTTTTGATGTGGTTCAAAAAGATTTGATTTCATTAGATGTTTCAGTAGATGACAGGAAAGCCAACTCCAAAATTGTTAGAATTAATGCTTAATGTGTTGTTCTTGTTGATTTGCTTGAGCAAAAGGTGGTTCAGGCATTAAGCTATCTCAAGTGAAGCTTAATGTCTTTGTAACTTGTTGAATTGTGTAATTCAGGCGGTAATATTTTTTATCTATGGGGCAAAGGATTGTGGGAAGAGAGAGAGGCTAGCTGTATTGTGCTCTAAAGCATTAATTATTTGCTGCATATCAGGTGCATTGGACGAAAGAGAGTTACGATGTGTACAATTTTCTAGTTTGGCTTCTATATTGTCTGCCTTCCGTTAGAGTAGTGTTAAATCATGCTTTTTGTTAGACCTGTCAGTCTTTACATCTTGGATGCATTTGATTATATATATAGGACTGCGCTATTTTTCTTCACTAGGAACGTGAATCAAAAGCACACAATAAACACTAATACTTGTAGAAGATTTATAGAAAGGGAAAAAGGGAATGGGTGAGAGAAGAGATGAGAAGAAGGGAAGAGGAGGATATAAAGGAAGACCTCTTTTTTTTTGTTGTTGGGGGTGGGGTTGGGGGGGGGGTGGAGGGGAGGGGAGGGACAGAAAGATAGCTATTGGGGGAGATAACTCTGTTTATTCAACAATCAAGTATGTCGAAAACAAAAATACTCAATAAACAAGGAAAACTAAAAAAATACAAGAAAAATTTTATACTTTAGAAAATCATCACCCCATTTATCAAGTCTTCAACTAAATATATATTAGATCTTTATCAGAAGATTTTGTTCTCTATTGTGGTTGTTACTGGTAAGAATCTATTTAACAAAGAGATTACACCTAAGATTTTTCCACTTTGAAATTCTTATAGATGGTTTAAATACTGTTTAACAGGCAAAGATGCTAACACTTCGTGCAAGCAAAACTTCGACCTCATGCTTAAATTCCAAGTAATTGTCAACCCCATGTCGTGTAGGTCGGTTGGCCTAATTCTTTCTTTTCTTTTGGGGAGTTGAGGACGAACATGGGTTTTAGGGTACTATCCTTTTAGTCATTTAGTTATCTTTCTAGCTTTGCATCTTCATCTCTGCACAGATTACACAGGTAATTCTCAAAAATGCAGGAACCATATTCTGGTTTATATGTTAGTAATTTACACGATGGAGCAAATTCCTAGCCTTTCATTTTGAATTTTTTTAATTGGAGTAATAGTACTGGATATTTCCATTACATGTATTCACGAGACTAAATTATTTCATATACCAAATATTGGTTATATTTTGTTGGGTATTTTCACTTCCCATGAAATACGTGCAAGTCTATATTTATGCTGCTGCTTATCTGCGGAACGAATTTAGTTCAAGGTTGAACAGAGACGCGTTCTTCTGGTCTATTACAAGAAAAGTTTTCTCTGGGTCGTCACCGAGTTGATTAACATGAAATGAGAGGATTATTCTTTTTGTGTCTCGGACCTAGTTCCCATCACCATTGCCAGTTTGTGCACACATTAGAGAGTGTGCGATGCGTAGAGTAAGATCTTTATTGTTTGTGACTTCTATTGAAAAACTTCAAATTTTATGCTTCAAGAAAGAACGTACTAGTTGAGAAGCAATAACTTTGCAAAGTATGTCTAGCAAGACGTTCATAAACAGGGGTAAATGAGCGATGGAGGTAGTGGCGGAGTCGGGGAGATAAAAGGAAATTTAGATTACATAGAACAATAATTTTCATCCCATGAAAAATGAAATGGACTTGGAGTAGTCCTGGGCTTTCTCCCTCCGTGTTCACGGATGGAGAAGTATATAGCGCTTGTGCGTCTTATGAATTGTGTGGAGTTGTAAGATTCGATTTTTTTGGGGGTGAGGCTATAATATCAGTGTTCCTATGTATAGGCCTTGATCAGTACACAATTATATGCAACTCATATTGGACTTATTATTTTAGAAGGACTCTATGGACAGACAGTCTATAGTCAAAGAATCTTTTATTGTATTATTGTTGTTGCTATTCACTAGCTTCAGTTTTCACATTTACCTATCGAACAGGAATAATGAAAACAACAATAATGGTGGCGTTGGTTGCATTATAGAGCTTTGTCGTAAGAGCTGTCACATTTCAATTTCCATAGAATAGTTATGACGTGTTTGGAGAAGGGACATGGTTAGATGGTTGTATGAAATTTTATTATTGAAGGCATGGAGCCTATGTGTAAATATTTTTAGAATTGATTTGAGAAAAGTATTATTTTTGGAGAATGTATGATTAAAACGTAAGAAAAAGTTATGTATTTACGTGTAAAATTATTTTATTTATGTATAGTGTAGTGTGCTTGAAAATAATTTCTTGCTTGATTTTAGTTAAAAACTAGATTTTTTAGTAATTTTTGATAAAAATGTATGGCAAATTGATATAAATCGTGAATTTCATTTAATGTGTGATTAAAATTAATTATTGATTTAACTTAAATTTTGTTCTTCTTTTTAAAACAAAGCAAACCTGTGTTAAATAGGGATCTATAACAAACATGTGAATGGTAATAAATTTAGATTGTATTAATATTCGCTTCCAGTATAAATCTAATTATCCTCGTACAGCCGATAAGAGATCACTACTCGCTTTAATTTGAAGTTAGGACGAGTTTCTAGGTTAGTTGACCTTGGAGGGGCACATACCCTGTCTAGCTAATGCAGCATGTTTGATAGCTATGGGATAATGAGCATGAATACTTGACGTCGAGGGCGGAGATAGAATTTTAGAGTTGGTGGCGTAAATTGTACGAAATTTTAATTGTGAGGGTAAAATTGGAAACTATTAAGGAACTTTTTGAAAAATTTGTGCAAAATTTAAAATTTAATGTGGCAACAGGTGACCCCATTTCGCTTACTGTAGATCCGTGTGACGTTATTCTCACATTTTTTTTGATTCATCAGTTGAAAATATATATAAGTACTATAGTAGTCACTCTCACTGACCTAAAACCCAACATAAGTAGAAGCCAAAAACTATGATCTTGTGTCTACCCACATAATCGCTTCTCAAATGAGGACAAAAGGGTTTGTAAAAAATGTCGAAAGAGTAATCATCTATCACCACTATTCTCTTACTTAAACTACACGCCAGTCAAAAGGGTTTCACTTTATATACTTCCTCACCCCTATTTATGTAGGATGATTTTGTTTTTTCACACGATTAAGAAATCTTATTTAGGGTGTGTTTGAGCCACATTATTTTGGAAGAATATATTTTTGAATAATAGATTGATGGAGAATGTGCAGTTAAAAAAGAAAGAAAAGTTATTCTTGTGATATAAAATATTATTTTATTGAAGAATGTGTTGTTGAAAATACGTAGAAGAATGAGAATACAAATTTTAATGTGGCTCAAACAGGGGCTTAATATTATTGAAAAAGTATTTTTTGTCAAAAATTTTCATAAACTTTATTTAATTATCAACAACTAGTAGTAAATTATTGTTGGAAGTAAAATAAAAATAAAAATTGAATGATTTAATTATCAAGAAGATTAAACGGGAAAAATTGATTATAACTCTGCAAATTAAATAAAAGTATATTAGTAAATGAAAAAAACAAAGCATTCTTAATAAATAAATGAGACTATATAATTGAGACAAGAAAATAAGAAAAATCAGCTTACATAAATGGGATGCAGGGAATAGTTTTTTCAAAATTCACGTATAATTCTAATTACTTTTCAAG